AGAACAGGCTATAATCTGGAGGATTACTCCGTTGGAGTTGGAGTTGGAGTAGTGGAATAAATGATCATAAAGTACAATTTGAAATTCAGTCATGACTGTGAAATTCATATAGGCTTTCAGAACTATTTATTATTTATTCCTCAAGATAGGTTATAGTAATATTCTAATATAAATGAAGAAAACAATATTATAATTATTGCATTTTGCTAATTATATTTGCTTTATATTATCGGGTTTTAAATAAAAATATTCTGTTTTCAATCCTTTAAATCACTATTTTTATTTCTGTTGTGATTTAAAAAAAAATATATTTCATATTATTTTTTAAAAGGAAACCCTGTCATAAAGAGCCCACATGAAAATTGTTTCAATTATTTAATTTCATTCTTTAATAGTTCAGTCATTGGGGAACAAAAAAGGGGCCTTCTTGGAGAAAAGTCCGGAAGTTTTGAAACTTTGCAGGTTATTTTCGGTTTTGGGGTCCCTAACTAAAATCCATAAAATGCACATTTCCAGACTTGCCGCCGGCGCCGCCATCTTGCCAAGATGGCGCCCAAAATCGGTATTTTGTAAATATCTCGAAAACTATGCTTTTTTCGTAAAAATTTGTAGTAAGAAAAATTAAAGAGAATAAAAAAATAGAAATTTTTCGCGAAAGTCAACCGTTTAGGCACAAAATCCCTGGAAATTCTATAATTTTGCGTAAAGTATGATATATGTAGTATAGTCGATTTTCCGAAATCAAATGTCGATTAGGGTTCACTAAAACTAGTTTTGGTTTAGTTTCTTCAATTTTGTCATAAAACAGTGGCGTATCATTAATTCGTTTAATATAATAATAATTAATTTATGAATAATTTATTGTCGTACTGGACAGCATTCATTGCGAGCTTACCACCAGGTTCAGCATTGGTCTGGTTGTACCAAAGATGTCGAAGGATGGGGTTGGAAGAAAACAAAAACAGGCATTACTCCAGTCACAACGTTGACAGATCCAGCTCCAAAATCCCTATTGGCATTTTTATCCTGTAAATGCAAACCCAACAACTGTGGTAAAGCCTGCGGATACAGAAAAGCAGGATTAAAATGTTCACTGATTTCTGCCTACTGCAATGGGAAATCCTGTGAAGTCCACTGAAGTGTCACTCGACGAATCCGATGAAGAGAAGTTGGACTTGCCTGTAGATATCCCTCTGGCGGCTGAAGATGAAGAGTTGGACGAATTGAGAGACCACCCTGATGAGCCCAGCACAGCAGACACGATCGACTTTACATCAATGAGCCAGGTCCGTCGGGCTTGTGCAGATAAGTTAAAGTTTTTAATTTACCTAGTGGAATAGGCCTCCGGGGAGACCACGTTAAAATAAACGCGCCATGTACTTTACTTGGGTGGTGTGGAGTAAGTAAAAGTACACATTTTCAAGAATTAAAATTAATTATTCATAAATTAATGAGCGAGTTAATGATACGCCACTGTTTCATGACAAAATTGAAGAAACTAAACTAAAACTAGTTTTAGTGAACCCTAATCGACATTTGATTTCGGAAAATCGACTATACGTAATATATCATATTTTACGCAAAATTGTAAAATTTTCAGGGATTTTGTGCCTAAACGGTCGACTTTAGCAAAAATTTTCATAGAACCTTTTGTATAGGAAATTTTATTCTCTTTAATTTTGCTCTCCTCAAATTTTTGCGAAAAACGCATAGTTTTCGAGATATTTATAAAATACCGATTTTGGGCGCCATCTTGGCAAGATGGCGGCGCCGGCGGCAAGTCTGGAAATGTGCATTTTATGGATTTTAGTTAGGGACCCCAAAACCTATAAATCTGCAAAGCTGCAAAACTTCCGGACTTTTTTCCAAGTAAAAATCCCCAATGACTGAACTATACGCTTTGCTTAAATTTGATTTTCAATAAGGCACTTTTATGTTTCATATTTATTGTTCAACTATATATCAACTGTATTTTGTAAAGCTTTTATAAAGCCTTCGTATGATATAAAATTAAAATCAGTATAAAAATATACTAAAATTGTTATTTAATTGTTTTCATTTGTAGAATAATGAACTTTATTATTTATTTCCTTATGACATTTCAGTATGAAAGTATAACATTTGACCTTTTTAAAGCAACCGTATTAAGGTCTACAATTTATTATTTAAAATTTAAAAGCAATTATTAAATTCAGAATTTTGCTACGAGAAAAAGAATTTTTCATATTCATTTATAATTTAGAAATATGGTTCGTGATATAAATACAAATTTCAATTTAATGATCTTAAACAAATAAATATGTTTAAGGCTCTATTAGTTTTAAATAGGCATGGTCCTGTATTAGTTACCGGATGCGATCATTTTAGTAATCCAACGAAATAGTTACGTTCCTAATATTTTTATCGAATGCACATTTTTGAAGATGTGCGCTCCAATAATGGCGACTCTTTATCTTTAAACTTACGAGCTGACTCTCGACAACGCACATGTATTGATCTCATTGGTAGAATCAATTGGGCTGCCATGTCAAAAGTACAAAACTTTCAGTCAATTGAAAAAAGGAATTTTATTGCAGATTTTACCTTACTTTTCTGATTTTAAAATAAAAAATAGTAGTCCTTTGGTTTCCTTCTATAACTATAAATACCCTTTTTTAATGATCCTATTACAATAACTATATTCTAGTATTATCTGCATTTTTAATCTAATTTGAAAGTTTTGTTTCTGTATTTCTTTTATTTTGTTGCTGAATTTATTATATTTTATTTAATAAAAGTATTTTTTGCATTCTAAACAACGTAAAGTAAATATTTGATGTAAATATTTTTTGATTTGCTAAAAGCAATTTCTGAAAGTTATTTAAGGATTAATCTATATTAAGTTCAGGTACAAGAGAAACCAAAATAATTATTTTACCAATTTTCTTGACACCCTTTTTCACTCCAGATTTGAAAAAGACATTTCAACTATATCTGTATATGGTTTTAAGATAAAATAGTTATTACAAAAATTTATAAATAGATAGGATATATATTTTTTTATTAAAAAACAATATTGGTATTGTGAAATTCATACTTCGATACAAAAAACATTTTTTAATAGGAAAGTTTGCACAGTAAATTTGTTTTTGAACTAAATACAAAATTATTTAGTAGCTTCAAAAACACAACACGAGAGCATATTTCGAAAGTTAGCTTTATTCCAAGTAATTAATTATAAAGTAGAAAAATGTAGTATAAATGAAACAAAATTAATTATTTAATAATTTTTAACCATTACTTTAGTGAATTTTAAAGTACTTAGGTTATATTACTTTTTGTACGTTAAATATCTAAATTTTATACTCAATAATAGGATTACGCTTAAACGCAATGAAATTATTTATTTTATGTAATAATGTAATATATCCCATCAAAAACAGAGTTCACAGTTCATAGTCGTTCCTAATAGTTTATATGGGCCCGGCAACAGTGCGTCGGGCATCAATAACTCCTATAATAAAAAAAAATTAGGAATTTTGCGTAAATGCCAAACTAAAACTAAAGTATGTGTTACCATGTATTTTAGGAAAATATTTTAAGGGTGGCTCAAAAAAGTGTGAGTGGATCGAGATGATTTTTTTAAATGGAACACCCTGTATAACACTGCATTTTTGGCTTCTTTTCTGATTACTTTACATACTGAATCCGATATTATTAAACATGTTTCGATAGTTTCAAAGAAATGTTCTGAAATCTAAACTATACTAAATATTTACTATTGTTGGTCTGTACTTACTTTCTTATAAATATTATAAATATCGTAATCTTAAACCATACAGGGTGTTCAAAATTCGATGTCAAACTTTCTAAAATATGAAATCAATTTTCTTCGTTTTTTAATAGAACACCCTGTATATTATTCTTTTGTTAGATGGAGAATTGAAAAAGGAATATTACTCGAATTAAAGAATTTCAAAATTTTTAGCGGTTTTGCAAATATATTCGCATTTTTATTACATACATAATATATGGCTCCTTCAACGATAAAATAGCAGACTGATATTATTGGGACAAGATACAGATTTTGAAATACTTTAAATGTTAATTTTTTAATTCTCCATCTAACAAAGGAAGAATATATAGGGTGTTTATTTAAAAAACGAGGAAAAATGATTTTATACTTTAGAAAGTTTGGCATAGAATTTAAAACACCCTGTTTGGGTTAAAATTACGATATTTATAGCAAAGTAAGTCCAGATCAACAATAGTAAATATTTATTTTAGTTTTGATTTCAGAAAATTGCGATTTTAGTTTGTCAGACAAATTTCGATATTATTACAAAGGTTCAACAAGTTCCGATAGTGATAATAACGTGGGAGCACACCTCAAAGTTAACTTTGTTCAAAATTACTAAAAGAGCAGTACAAGAGAAGAAATTTAATTATTTAATCAGTTTACTTCACAGTGATTTTCACGGAGATAGATCTAACAAATTCAAGTGGTGTATTTTCTGCGCATGAAAATAGAATATGTTTTTAACGTAAGTTTAATGCAGCTTTCAAATTATTTAAATATGGGTAGTAGATAGAAATATGAAAATAGTTCATTATTTCCATTGCAAAAGTTTACAGGCCCAGATAGATTTTTTAATAGGTAGAATATCACGAGAGGATATTTCGAAAGTTGGCTTTGTCTAAAGTTTAAAACTTTTAGCGGATCAAAGAGGAACGGTACGAATAACAATCTCTCTCCCCGGCGGTTTGATTGATTTTTAAACGCCAATAGTTCCGCTGTTCGCGCTCGTATGGCAATACTTTTTTATTTTCCCATACCCCACGGATGTGTATCGTAATTTTCGGATAACTTGTTGCATCCAAAAAGATTATTAATTGGATCATGTTTATCGATCACGTTTACATATAACGGAGGAGCAACAAGTGCGGCTGCGCATTGAAACAACTCTTCATCGTTGAACTCTCTCTTGTAAGGCTGTTTTTTAGTCTACAGCATGCTTCCCCAATGAAAGAAGCCCTACAGAGAGCTTTCCAGTATTTTGTGATATATAACATCTGAAATATCACTGAAAACTATATATTATGTGAGTATTTTTCGGGAAAAGTTATATTTAATTTATTTCACACTTAGTTTAATTTATCGTTTTTGAAATTTCGCGCCATAATTTTAAATTCGCTCGTCGAACTTTTCCGTTTCGCATTAACAAGTTGTTTTTTCAAGGTTTGCGCTCAAATGTTTTCGCGATAGATTCGACTATGTTTTAACGGACAAATTTGAAAAGTTTTAGCGCAAATTCTTGTCTTAGACCAGTTTTAATTTAAAACTTTTTCGCATTTTCCAAATATTTTGTTACACATAAAAAATGTTTCCTTTAACTTTTAGCGGCGAGAATTAAAACGCATTTTTGTTTTTAGAAAGTAATTATTTCAGAAGATACTTTTGCATTGGCAGCTACAATGAATATTTCAGCGGCAGTACCTTCTACCAGTATGTCAGGTATACAACATTTTTATATATTATTAACATTTATTTATTTATAGTTTTATCAACTTTTGTTTAATTAATATATATTTTTGATATATATTTTTCTTAATACATTTTTAAGTAATATTTGGATATTTAAAAATACACTCAACTATTCGTATTAACTTTGTTGTACAGAAAACATTTGTATGAACTCCATACTCTCTTTGAATTCTTCATTTTCCCAGCTATCACCGACTTTAGAGTACGTTAGATTATTCATGATCTCTAATGTGTATCTAAATCTAGACAGGCAAATCTATTTTTAAAAATAAAATAGTTACAGTTCCCTATTTATTTTTATTTAAATAAAATAATCAATTACATTAAAAAATATATTTTACCGTTTACTATTGAAACTTGATTTACCGGAAAATAAATGTAGTTCTTTCTTCAAATATTTGTACAAAACTTCGTAGTTTCTTTTAAATAAATAATAAACTGTATATGTATAGGGAAATTGGATAAGGTTGAAAAATACAATAGGATCAAAAAAAAAAACGACGTCAGCTATGGCTATGAAGTGAAGATCGCTGTCATTTTATATGTAAAATTATATGGGGAATGTCATCGATGATCATTTCCGAGCCAACTGGACGCCGTTTTTTTCGTAATCATAAGGTACTTCTGCGATGCTGTAATATTTCGGCACGAATAAAAACTCTTCTTGATAAATGAACCTAAAATCATAATTGTCAAGAACTATACGAAGAGAATATTTTTATTCATAAATTACTGAAACTTTGATGATGAATTTTATGTGCCTACTAAGTATGGAATATTTTAGTGTTTTTTATTTTGGTAAAAAAATGCATTTTTTATAGTTACAGTAAGTAACGTAATGACGCAGTTGCAGTTATACTTAGCCAAATATTTTGGGATTGATAAATTGGGGCTTGACATCTATTATTAAACTGAGTAATTTACTATTATTGAACTATTAGGTACTCTTAACTGAATTATTACTTCTTATTAGAAGTACAGAGAAAATATTCAAAAAGTTGAAAAATTAATTCAATAAATTTATATTTTTTGGGGAATGACATTGTTGCATTATATTTTTATTATTAATTTTTTGTAAAATATAAGAAACTTTTCTTCTTTTATAAGTAAAAAATGGTTTGGGATACATTATTTAATCACAAAGTAATCAATAAATTATTAAAACCTTACAAGCGTGAGAAAAAAAACAATTTTAAATAGAAACACGAAGTTTTACTGTTTTTAATACAAAATGACTAGAAATATGAATTTTAAAAGAACTTTCTCTCTTACAAAGATAAAATCAAAATTGTTTTCAACTTAAATATCGTTTTGAACAAAATGTCGGAAACTTGAGGATTATTTAATTCAAAATATTCGACCCAAATCGTAAAATAATTGGCAAAAAATGGTATCGGGTGAACATCATTTGAACTTTTCTTCCCTCGTGAAAAAACAACAGGAAGAGGCGGAAACAGCGTTTATTTAGATGTCATTAAATCAAGTAAATATTTAATGAAATGTTTTTGGCGTCTTTAAGAATATAAAAGTCCGAAGATAACTTTGCCTGGTGGAACGATGCCGATTTAGGTAAGTACCGATACCTGATCGATTTCTATACGTTTTTCTTGTGTTGCGTTGAAAAACTTTTATATTGCCAGCGTAAAAAAATCCCCCTATCATTCCTATATAAGAAATATATTTCTATATAGAATACCTTTTGTGAACTTTTCACGTAACATCGGTCAGCAGAAAATGCCTTCAATGCGACACAAAGAAAAAACTCTGCAGATATTGTCGAAATATTCTATTGACCTTTTTCAAATGTATGGACAATAAATAAAGCTCTCTGCGGTATCCCACAGGAAAATTTAGATTTCGAGAAAAATATCGTAGTTCTGATTGTTTCAATAAACGAAGCGTTTCAGCTGGCTACGTAGAAAACTTTGAAAATGTGCAATTTAAATTAAATTGAAAAAAGTTATTTTGATATTGTCTCAGTTTTCTTCATTCTTAACAACTCTGTAAACGATTACTACAATAACTTTTATTCCGCAATGCATTAAAATTTTGCGATATTTTGAAGCGAAACTTATTTAGGCGCGCTGGGTTGGGTTGGGTTGGGTACAAATTCAAGGTCGTAAAATACGAGCTAGCGTCACAAAAAGTGGTAACGATCGAAAAAGTGGTAAGCCAATGAGGAAGTTGAGATGGATCTTTGGAGCGTCGTAAAGGTTGATTCTCACTACACCTTCCGTTTCCATTCCATATCCGTTCCGTATTTTTCTATTGTATTGACGTTATACGTAAGCTTCCGTTCCGTATCAGTTCCATACTTTTTATTCTACAATTTATATCATTACGAAAGTTTTATTTTAAAAATTTGTATCTTTTGAAAAAGGTAATAGATTTAATTAAGAGGTGAAAGAATGAATAAATATCAGCAAAATTTTAACAGAGCTGGTACAAATGAACTTGACAACCTTGTTTCCGATACGCTTTAGTCCGTCCGCCAAAAAAATGTATGGAAGGAAAGGATATGGAACGGAAGGGAAACGGAACAAATAGTGTACAGAGTGAGTCAAATTCGACGCTTTTAAATGGAAACACCCTTTTCTATAGGAGATAGACAAAAACTAATATCGGTGTCTGGAGCTCAATTTTCATCAAAAACATGATGGTGAAAACCGCACATCAATATCTGTTACCGTTTCGGAGTTACAGGTTGTTTTTTCAAAATGTGCATTTTAACAAATCGCTGTAACCTTTTGGTTATGGAAAATTTTGTATTTCTATGAAAACATTTCCAAAGCACCTTTTTACGTAGAATTTAACGGTTTAAGTATAATTTTTTTAAAATTAATAATTCAAGAGTTATCAACAGAAAAATTGATTTTTTATTTGGGACACCCCCTATATTTTTAATTAACTGAAAAGAATTTAAAATTACCTATCCAAAAATATAGCACACTTGATATTTTGTTATAATCCCCTTCGAAATACAGAATTTTTAAAAGTTCGCCACTTTTAACTAGTAGGCTTTGGACCCCTTATTGATGATTTGCCCTTAATAGAACTCGAAAACATATTTTTCCAGCAAGACGACGCACCGCCTCTGAGCGCTGAAATTATCAGCAAATTTTTGCAGCCAATTTCAAGAATAATTGAATAGCTAACCAAGATCCCAGCCGTTGGCCGTCGAGGCCGCCTGACTTAGTGTCCATGGATCTAATCCTATGGATATATTTGTGGAAGAATAAAGGTTCCTTATTCTTCCCTATAATCTAGACAAGGATTAGAAATACTTAGCAGTTATGAGAGGGTATCTTTCACCCCCACTGAGTTAATCAATTCCGCGAGAAATGTCCAAAAACTGCCCCGTCTGTCCATAACAGAAGACGGTTCATATTATGTCGAACACCTGTAGCAAAATCTCATGTCTTGGTTTGCTATTTATTTTTATTGTTATTAGATATAGTTTAAATGTGTTGATGTTGGTTAAATATATTTTAAATTGTTATAAAATTCTGCATCTCTCATAGCAAATATTATTTTCGTTTTAATTGATGCTCACAGCTAATTTTTTTTTGCATTACAGCCGGTGCTGTTCAAAGCCTACTTATTTAAAGCGGGCGAATTTTTATATACTCTATATCTCGAAGAGGAATCGAGCAAAATATCAAGTGTGTTATATTTTTTAGAACGGTAATTTTAAATTCTTTTCAATAAATTAAAAATATACAGGGTGTCCCATATAAAAAATTAAATTTTCTGTTGATATTTCTTAAATTATTCATTTAAAAAAATATATACTTAAACCATTAAATTCTACGTAAAAAGGTGCTTTGGAAATGTTTTCATAAAAATACAAAATTTTCTATAGCAAAAAAGTTTTTTGTGATTTGTTAAAAATGCATATTTTTGAAAAACACCCCGTAACTCCGAAACGGTAACAGATATCGATATGCGGTTTTCACTGTCATGTTTTTGACAAAAAATGAGCTCCAGACACCGATATTAGTGTTTTTGTCTATATAGAAAAGGATATATAGGAAATATATATAGGAAAAGATCTCCTATAGAAAAGGGTGTTTCCATTTAAAAGCGTCGAATTTGACCCACCCTGTACATTGTCCTATTCATTTACATGATATAATATTTTAAGTAAACGGAAGGAAGCTGATATGGAAGGTATAGTGAGAATCAAGCTTTACTCGGGCTCTATGTGAGCTAGGGGACTAAAACTCGGCATGTAGATGGGGCTCTTTATGGAGCATCATCTTTTCATGCTATTTTGTCAACGTTTCATGCACTATGAAACCCCATCATAAATGGCGAAGAAATCGTCCCATTTAAATGAAATTTGGTACTATGTTGATAGTTTTTCAAGGCCAACTGTGTATTACTGTGTCAGTTTTGACTTAAACAACGTCAAAAGTTGATCGCGCCCAAATTTGGTGGGTGGGCTATATGAGTGACGGTGCATACGGTCCCACCCTGCAAAGTTGGATACGACGTTTACATCTTCATTTAAGGATTTGATATTGAAGAAAAATATGGGTCGATTTCGGCCTAATTGAGGACGGGCTACAGGACTCCGCTCTCGACGTTTCGAACGGATGCTTCTAAATGGTCAAAAATCATCTGGATTTTTCTTAATCGAATTATTCTTAATTAGTCGTTTGGAAGCAAACTCGGCACGTGGATAGAGGTACCTGAATGGAGTCCTCAGACGGATAGACGGTCATTCTAATACAAATTTTGTGCAAGTGTGAAAAAATTTTGTGAAAAGTTATTTATAAATTTTTAACTTATTACTTTTTCAGCGTTTCAAACTACGCCTTTTCAAACGTGCCCTTCAAATCCTTCAATTTAATAGCTGTTAGTAAGAAGTTGCACTTCAAATATGCGCACATAGTGCACACGCAATTTTTTTTATATTCCTTTGTATTATATTTTATGAACTCGAAAAATATGTTTTTTTTTAATTT